CCACCACCAAACAACTGAGTTATTTTTACACATCGGCCAGCATCTGGCCAATTCTCCACCTTTCATTGTTCATACCGTTACAAAAACCCCAAAACAACAAACAACAAACCAAAACATCGGCCCATTAAAACGAAAAATCACATCGGCCTACTGGGCATTTGTCACTGCACGATGCCCAGTCCAGCTATGGTCGCCGGGCATAAAGGCTGTGGTAACTGGACTCCCACTTCCATACCTGGCTGCTTTCTATCCATCAGCATCCCCTGAGTTAAAGGCAGAGGTCCGCACCTTGAGCTTAGCACAAATGTCTTTTACTTACCCAGGGTTTCTGATTTGGCTATTTGCAGACGGTGGTTTTGGCGATGATATCGTCTATGCATTTTCCAATATATCCATTGACAGAGTCTGTGAGTTCATTAATGTTGCCATCAGCTGTATCCTCAAATATCTGCCAGTCAGTGGTCTCAAAGCAGTCTTTAAGCATCTCATTAAAGTTTGAAAACAGTTTTCTGAATCTGACCACATATAACAACTACAGCCACTCACCACTGTTTATCCCACTTTCTTTGCTTTAAAATTACGAATGGCAATATTAACACTAGAATAACAGGTGAATAATGTGTTGATTAGTGGCATTTCTTAATGTTACAGTGCATACATCTACCAAGCACCTTAAGGTAAGTTAAATTGTAACTGAGTCTTTAAACAGCTGGTCAAACAAATAAAATGTCAAATATGTTCCAACATCAACTATTCTGGATAGTTACATTTATTTTTCTATTCAGTTCAATTCAATTTTATGTATATAGCACCAAATCACAACAACAGTCTCCTTAAGGCGCTTTATATTGTACAGTAGATCGTACAATAATAGATACAGAGGAAAAAACCAACAATCAAATGACCCCCTATGAGCAAGGACTTTGGCGACAGTGGGAACGAAAAACTCCCTTTAAACAGGAAGAAACCTCCAGCCGAACCAGACTAGGGGAGGTGTAGCCATCTGCTTTGACCGGTTGGGGGGAGAGATGGAAATCAATAAGATGTTCTGTGGAAGAGAGACAGAGATTAATAACAGGTATGATTCAATGCAAAGAGCTCTATTAACACATAGTGAGTGAGAACTGTGACTGGAAAGGAAAAACTCAATGCATCATGGGAATTCCCCAGCAGCCTACGTCTATTGTAGCATAACTAAGGGAGGATTCAGGGTCACCTGGTCCAGCCCTAACTATATGCTTTAGCAAAAAGGAAAGTTTTAAGCCTAATCTTAAAAATAGAGATAGTGTCTGTCTCCCGAATCCAAACTGGAAGCTGGTTCCACAGAAGAGGGGCCTGAAAACTGAAGGCTCTCCCTCCCCGTCTACTTTTAAATACTCTAGGAACAACAAGTAGGCCTGCAGTGTGAGAGCGAAGTGCTCTAATAGGGTGATATGGTACTACAAGGTCATTAAGATAAGATGGGGCCTGATTATTTAAGACCTTGTATGTGAGGAGCAGGATTTTGAATTCAATTCTGGATTTAACAGGAAGCCAATGAAGGGAAGCCAAAACAGGAGAAATATGTTCTCTCTTTCTAGTCCCTGTCAGCATTCTTGCTGCAGCATTTTGGATTAACTTGAGGCTTTTCAGTGAGTTTTTAGGACTTCCTGATAATAATGAATTACAGTCGTCCAGCCTAGAAGTAATAAATGCATGAACTAGTTTCTATATGATGAAGACAGTTCATTTAAAGAGGTATAATCCATCAGGTAGGAAACGAGGAGCATGTACTCACCTCGAGATCGCCATCCGTAGATCAACAGCCCACATACGATCAGTGAACCAATGACCACCAGAGGGACAACTATTTTGTTCTTCTCTACCTTATTTGAGTCTTGTCCAATAAAAGAAATAAAAGCAAAAAAATAGTGAAACACAGGAATACATGATAACTCTTTGTCTCCCTGTAATACTATAGTGAACTACATTCAATTTCTCTTTAACTGTCAGAGAGACAGTTAATGTACAAATTGAACATTTAAAACATTTTTTTTAAAACAATAATCATGTAGAAGTAGAGTGTAGAAAAGACAAAGGGCAGGCAATACTTGCAGTACTGTGACAGATAATAGAATTATAGATTGTGAGGTGAGTGCCTGGGATAGTTACCAAGAGAACCTGAAATTCTTTTCATCAGAAACAGTAAAACATGTATGTGTGGGGGGATTTTCCATAGCACAGCAAGCATTAACCAATCTGGTCTTTTTCTTGTTATTTACAGATGTAGAAAAAAATAGGGCACACCTGTGGGATCTAGTATTGTGGGACTGTTAGGGTTAGGATTTCAATTATTAAATAAAGCTATTTTAATTATTTTATTTATGCACAATGCAATTGTGCTTATAACGAGTTGGCACTCCGTGTTTTGAGGGTCATGAGCTTCGTCTGGTGTTATGACTAGGCTGAAATATTGCAGGGACACGTAGATTTTTGCAGCAATGGTACATACACACTGATAATGGTTTTCTACAAGTCTCTGTGTCAGAGAGGCCGAGCAAGATATCCTGAACCAGACCGTAGAATCAGTAGAAGATAATATTATTATCAAGGCTCGGCAGGGGTTGTTTTTTGTTTTGTCTTTCAGGTTCCAGGAGGAGCAGACAGAGGCGAGGTCAGACTGAACAGAGGAAGATTTGCAGCAGACTGCCACCTCCGTGTGGGAGCAAGATAGCCATAATAATCTTTGTTATTGTCGTAGTTCGTGCTGTCAAAATCAATGTGTTAACGCAAATGAATGCGTGATTAAATTAGCGCATCTGGAGTGCAGAATGACTCAAAATCTCTGAAATGTCTCTCTCAACGCATTTCGGGCAGTTTGTCCAAGTAGAGTTACCTTGGCACATGCGCAAATGGGCAGTAGATCTGGTAGTGACGAGCAGCTGAACCCATCAACTCAATTTGGAAGACGATAAACGCACAGTGGCCCTCTCGATGGGAAATTTGAGTATTAAACAAATAACAAGACGGAACAATCAACCGATAGAAAGTATTATGCACATTGTGCAAGAAGGAATTTTCTTTTCACTGAAGCACTTCCAGCTTAAAATATCATATTGACGCTAGTCGGGGATGCTGCTAGGACTTTGGCTAGTGCGTCACCCAGCTTGCGACAAACCACTCACGGAGCATCGGGGACTCAGTAAGTCTACCGCAAACATATTGACTGACACAATGCCAAGTGGATTGCAACAAACTGCAGACCTTTTAATAACGTTGAGAAAACACGCTTTACATAGCATGGTTCCTCGTTTCAAGGACTGGAAATGCCTCCCCAAGAGAGACAGAGAGAGAGTAGCTAAATGTTTAAAGAGTTTTTTGTTAACTTGAATGTTAATTGCGTATATTTTCCCCTTTTTCTCGAGTCTGTTTGCTCATGCAAAATGAAATGCGATTAATATAGAATAACAATGAATGCTATATCGTGAGTAATCAAAATTAATCCAGAGTAACCCTGTGATGAATCTGATTAAATATTTTAATTATTTGACAGCACTAATATACATTATATATTACTGTTTACTTACCTATTAGTATATAGGTTTTTAAAAGTTATATTTCACAGTAAATTACCTGTGTTAAAAGATTGAAGAAAACTATTCAAATTCTCTTTGAATTTAAGCATGCATTCTTTGTGTTTATTCTACATTTACTTCATTATATTGCATAAATGTCAGTTACAAGCTGAAAAAATGTAATTGCAACCAGGCTATTGATCAAGTAATTGCGATTAATTGTGATTAATTACAGAAAACTGTATGATTAATTAGTTAATGTTTTTAAATTTACTGACTGTACTAGTCGTAGTATAAAACCTGCACTGCAAAGGTCCAGCGCTGTAAACTTGTAATTTCAACTGCCAAAGCAAATTCAATCTTTTTAAGAGACAGATATTTCTCCTGACATTCCATCTGAAAACTTGAACATGAAGGACCCAAATTAGAAGCTAGATTCATGGGCTCCACACAGGTTTTGTCATTAACTGTGGGTGTCCACAGAATTCCCTCTTGGGAGCCTCAAAGGGCAAAACTGCTTTGGACCTTGTATGTGCAAACTCACTTGAGGCCCATATGGGATGTGTGGGTTTGCCCTGCCCACGCAGTCGAGCAGTTCACCCACACCTACCAACTCTGGGCATGTGCATGTTTTCTGAGATTATGATATCAGATTGTGCCTCACATGTGGTGCATAATATTTTGCAATAAAGTATACCTGGAAGAGGTGTTAGTGGTGATGGTGCTAGCATTTCAAATGTTTTGTCATTCTCTTTTCCTCCACTGGCGTTTAACAAAACGCAGACATCGGGAAAGTGGATTCTCGCAAAACATATTGCAGGGATCGCAAAAAATATACCTGTAAATAGGTCATATATGTTGGCTTTAAATGTGATCTCATCCTCTTTGCCTCCACTGGCATTGAACACAGCACAGATATACTTTGGCTGAAATTACTGAACAGTACGGTGAGCAGTAGGATAGTGCCAGCGGGCCTAACAAGAAACATGTGGAACATAATGGTGTGTAATAAAACATACCTTTAATTTTGTCATGTATGTTGGTTTCAAATGTGATACTATCCTCTTTCCCTCCACTGGCATTGAACACAGCGCAGGTATATATCGGGAAAGTGGATCTTCTAAACAAAGGGAGTC